AGAGAAAAAGCTTTTGCAGAAGACTAGGGGAAAGCATTTGAAAATATTGACTAATAAAAAAGGCTATGGCTCCAGAAGGGCGAAGGGTGAGTATGGAGACATAACTGCATATCGGTAATTATAAGAGAGAATCCCCGATCGTCCGCAAAAGAAAGATAAAGAGAATGTGACAAGGCTCAAAATCATCCGCGGAGAGATGGTAACGTACCTATATGTCCAGATAGTGGTGAACTGTCAAAAGAATAAAACTGAGTTCTCTAACAAAAATAGTGCGTGAGGGGAGATTAAATATGTACCATAAATGTTGGAAAATTGAAGAATTGCGAGAGAAGGGGAAGAGCAGGGGCATTGGTTCCGTTTTAAGAAAAGATAACTTTACAAATTAAAATATTTGCATGAATTACGCCATGGTAATTTTTTAAGAAAATAATTTAGCACCTCTTCCCCTGTCGTTGAGTCAAAGAATGGCCACCTCCCGCGTAAAAATTGATATTTAATATATGGCATGGTCCAACGCAGTGAGTAATGACTATTACTGAAAGCTGTATATTAAAAGGTTCAGGAATATTTTGCCAGTTTTGCGAAAAGCCGTATTCGGATTTGGCGAGGTATTTAAGTAAAAATCTGGAGGGAGGGGGCATGCTTACTGACATTTTCGAAGTAAATTAATAATACGTGGCTAGTTAATGCAGAAAGAGAACCTCCGCGCCAGATTTGTAGTGGCAAGTTATGTAAAAAATGTATTAATCAAAGTTGTGCATCCATTTTATTTATATAAACCGGTAAAAGGATTAATGACATTTAATTCAAGCTTATGTTTGCTGAAGTTACAATTAATACATTGCGAAACATCGGTAATTTATTGCTGTGGGTAACTCAAAGTTCAACCAATTAAATCAGAGTAAGCCTGAAGCACGGTTTGTTCATGAATCAACTTCCGTCAACTATCTTTCGAAATTAATTATCAACAAGCAGCTGGTAATACGGGAGGTCCATTCGTATTGCCTATCGCGTTCCACAATCCACTTTTTTAAATTTCTGCTGCCTTCCAAAGGAGAAATCCAATTGAGAATTGGAGAAATTTGAGGATGATCAAACCATAGCATCAGGGTTTGAAGTTTCAGATTAATTGTTACAGTAAAGTTTTTACCAGTGCCGTAGAAATTAAATTTTACTTTAGGAGCGCAGGGTGTTTAACCTCTGTAAGTGTAACTAGTCAGTTACATCAGGCATTGCGGTAGGGCATGTCCATTTTTTCGAGGGAATCTCAACTAAGAACAGAGGAAAAAATAACTACTACAGCACAAAACGCGGATGCCTTAATTTTATGTAAAATCACCCCCTCTCTCAACTCTAAGTCATTTTTTATCGCCTACTCAATGGCAGAATAATACTGTATATTGAAATTCGCATTCTGCGATGTCAGTCCATTTTTACCAAGCAAAGTTGCAAAAGTAACTTAACACGACCTATTTCCAGCGTGTAATTCAAACCCAAAATCAGACAATGAGGGGAGGGACACAATTTAGAACAAATAATTCATTGACGAACGTGTGAAAAGATTACGAAAGCTCGCTGTCATTACAATCGACAAAATAAAAGCTTCAACTTAACATAAGTAATATTTGTTTGGTGGAATGTTCGTGGACTTTTTTTAACTTGGAAATTTTACTTCCGCTAATTCAATGGGAAACGCAAATAAATGCTCTCGGCATAATGTCAAAAAACTACAGAATACCAGAGATTTCTCCTTTGAGGACATCCAACATATTTCCTACCTCGGATAAGTCGCATCCGCACAAAATGCGACTCCTAATAATTCGCATCAGGACAATTTGCATCCTAAAAAGGTGTACTCGGGACTAAAGTCACTAAATATAGAAAGTATCGCAATCCATTGGGCTCGTGTGTTAGAGAGAGCGCACGATTTTTGCCCAAAAATGGCGGAAGTTACCAGATTGTAGTAACTTTAATGTTAGGGATTGTTCCACCTGTTTGGAGATATCTGTATATATTTTTATAAAATATCATGACAGTACTATGTATGAAGTTGGGTTATAAAAAATTACAGCTATTCAGATTTTATTTGTCAATTTTTTTTCAGTTGGCAGCAAATTTGCCCAAAAATGGCGGATGATTGCGGTACTTTCTATATCTAGTGACTTTACTCGGGACAATTCACATTCGAAAAAATCGCTCTTCGCTAATTCGCACTCGAGTAATTCGCACCCAGTCGCTTTCCTTCCTGGGTAATCCACATTCAGACAATTCGCTCCTGGAGAATTCGATTTTTAGTAACACGCTTTGTAAGTCTATTCCTTTCCAGAGCGTCTGCCACCATTTTTGGAATTTTATCAAAATGCCTATGCGAATTATCATGGTGCAAATTATTCCGGTGCGAGTTATCTGGGAGCTTAATACCCGTGAGCAAATTGTCTATGTGAGAACTATCCTGGGGCGAATTTATCTTTAGTGCGAATTGTGCTTGATGCGAAATGTCTGGGTGCAAATTGTCCGGGTTCGAATTATCTAAGTGCAAATTATTCGGGCGCATTATTATCCCAGAAGAAAAGAGTAACTAATAAGTATTCTTTGCCAGAAGCGAGGTTTTTAAATAGTGCTAGTAGCTATAGACAGGGGCGGACTGGGTACTTAAGGGCCAGGTGGAATTGCATAGGTTACGGGCCAATTTTTTTGCTTCATTTTAAAGTATTCCTTTCTCAAAAATCAATTAGAATATAGTTTTTTTAATTGCAGCTGATAAGAGAAACGTGTTAATAATTTATTAATAGTGCAAGAAACTAAATACCTACAGCACATACTTATAAATAGGGCTAGGATTTTAATGACGTTTAAAATCAGCGAAAATGCAAAATCAAAAATACAATTATGACTTAAAAATTTCGCAAAAATGACATAAAAATTTAAAAGATGACATTTTAAATAACAAATAAATTTATTGATGAAATTGAATAAGACCGCAAAATTATGTTAAGAAGGGTAGGGATTAGGTGAGATAAGACAGGAATTTCAGTGGTGGTTCATTTCCACCCTCTGCAGGCCAGTCGTAGAATCTAGGTATGTAAGGTACTGACTCACTTACCGCATCCCAAAGAAATTTAATCCCTTTTAGTGGGCATTCGTTTGTGGATGACTTAAGTACGTTCCAAGAAAACGTTAATTATGCATTTAGCTTACAATGGAGGTTTTAGGCTTCATTTCTAAACAGGTAAAGATACCCTGAACTACCGAGAAAAGAAAAATATTGCATTGTGTTTTAGAAATATAAGACTGCATGAAAAATAAAACTTACAAAGGCCAGAGAAATACCGTAAAATATCAAAAAAATTAGCGCTATTCCTCAAAAATGCTAAAAATTCAAAGTAAACACACAAAAAATGCTAAAAATCCAAAGTAAACACACGAAAAATGCTAAAAATACCGTAAAAATTAGCAAAAAATGACCCATTGCTCAAAAATTGCAAAGAATGCAAAAAAATGCACCAACAAGTTGCTGTCATTTGATTCAATTTATCCTGAAACACGTTTATATATAAAGCCCGTTTGTAACGATCACTTATTTAGTCCAATTTTTAGTCCATTTTTACTTCAATAAGGATAATGCTATCCTAAAAATGTCATAAATGATGAAATTGTATGTAACATTCCATAATATTGTCAATTTTTTAGTACCAGTAAAATGTAAACATTTGTACATAACCTATGTTATATTAAACTGGAGACTAAATATTTATCTTCTGTAAACTAAGGTCCTCTATCTACTGTCAACGTATTATAGTGAGCTTTAAAAATGAATATAAATTTAATTTTAATTTTACAAATTCCCTATAATCGGTCAAAAGTTACTAAAAAATTGAGGGAAAATAGGACAGGGTCTAAACATTACAAAAATAGGACAACTTTCAGTTCCTAAAATAACTACCAAAAAATTGATCAAAGTTGATGTATGAAATGTTCAATTTTTTTGTTCCTAATAAAATTATTTAAAAATTGACTAAATAAGTGATCGTTACAAACGGGCTTAACAGAGCAATGTCTCAGACTTTCAGAAAAAAAGATACAAAATCATCAAAATTCTAGCCCTACTTATAAATTTCCAACGGGACATTATGACCTGCAGGCCAGGTGGCAATCGCCACCCGCCCCCCCCCGGGCCAGTCCGCCCCTGGCTATAGAAGAAGACCACTTTCATTTGTACGCAAATCGTCATTAGAATTATTCTTTGATGATGATTCTTTGGTATTTTGAAGTACCGATAGATATCCTTGTGGTATTGTAACGCATGATCAGGTATTTTTTGACAGTCAGTCTCTTGTCATCATAAAATGTGCACTTAACCAGTGGGTTAATTTGGCCACGAAACAAAAAAAAAGGTGATTTCTTCTCATATTTTCCTTTGGTCCCATTAAACTCCAGAAAATCGCCAAAAATTCCAAATCGAGAATCTCCAAAATGTTGTCATCGCCACAGATCCGTGGTTTTTTAAATGCAAATGCAATGATAGTATGATTTCATGTGAAAAAAGACACAATTTCGAGTGGTTCCTTATGCCTAATGCTTGGCGACTTTTCCGAGGCAGTTTAGAAATCTGCTTTCCTAATGATAATATTCGTATCTGATCTGAATATGCCCATTATGTAAAGCAACTTTAGTTTCCGGAGTCCGAAAAAGGTAACTTGATTCCTTTGGTACTCATTTTAACGTAAAAATAAGAATTTTTTAACTTTGGTAACAATATCGACTAGTTCAATTCGAAAATTTGGCGAGAACTTTTAAAAATCACGAATAATACCCCAAAATTAAGATTTCGAGTTTCACAGGCGAGATAAATTGACTTCTTCACATGCTATTAATGTCCCCATAATAACATACTAAGCTAAACGTGTTACTTTAATGGGTAATAATTGCGCAATTTGCATTTATAGTAATTTTGTCGGTGATTTTCGAAGTACGAAAAAAAAATCGCTCATTATACGTACCATTTGTAAAACGATCACTAATTTGAGAATAATCCGTACACTTTTCATATTTAGTTTTTAGTACGTACACCTTTCACCGAAATTTCGAAAAACTCTGACCGGTACCGGTAGGTCTAGCAAGGACCAATTGTCTCAAGAGTTGATCCCGCTGAAGACATACAGGAACTGCGTTTGAAAACTTGGTTCCGCGTGTCTACGAAGTTCAGTATTTGTTCCGCCCCGCTACGCTACAAGAACTAAGACTTGGTACTGTTACGTTACGTGAATGTCGTTTTTGATGCTTCCGAGGACAATCTCATTTCAGTTTTTTCCACCTTTTTTTTTATGCGACCGTCTAACTCGACGCGATCGATTTAAAGCACGCCCGCCGCTTCGTTCCCAATTCGCATGTCAGTATGTCACTATTGTTTACGGCAGCATATTTTTGAAATCAAAAAAATCGCCATTCAAATCAATGGCTTAATTGTAACGAAAGTTGGTCAGAAGGTTAGACTGCCCCTGAAACAAAGAATAAATAAGGAAGTTGATTGAATCTTGATCGTACCATTTAAATGTGTGCTTCCTTTCTTCTCGTTTGGCTTCTTTTTAAACTTTCAATGAGTGTTAAACGGTACCGCCGATTTTTACAGAAAACATGCAACAGCCTTGTGGTTAAATTAAAAGCTTTGTAACGTTGTAATTATTGGTACCTATTGATTGGTTTACCTATTCTGGCACCAAAAACCGTAAAGTGATATTTAAATTTTTGGCCACGAGTAAATAGACTGAAGAGTTTATTGCTTGCACGCTTTTGGGAGCAACTCGCTAAATGTACCTGAAATGTGCGCCATTTCTTTATTATGCGTTAATTTTATTAATAACTGTATTAGGTTATACCATTTCTTTACGCTTCTTTCTTTAATGTGTCTGATAAAGCACTTACATATAAGTACCACATATTTCGTAGCTTTCCACAAGGTTTGGTTTGAGCAATCACCCAGAGCTTTTCATATATACTGAAAACCGCCTGTCTTTGAGGATAAAAAATGAAAGTAGTTCAAATGCCATTTCATATACTTCGAACAAAAATTCGATATATCAAAACTGAAGAAGTGAGTCCACTTTCTACAACTGAAACGTGCAGATTAGCGCAAAAGAGGTCGAATTGGTTTCGCCAATTATCCGGTTCATTTATCTAAAATGACCCAGCATCATGGGCAAAAATACGGGCGTTTATCAAGAATAAACATATGAAAATATGGTGTCACGTACAGGTAACAGTATACTTAAAACGACCTAGTATTCCATTAAGGCGCATAATATCTTTTTAATGGACTTCCAGTGTTCTTCGTTTTAAATGGTACCTATACGCTAACAGAAAGTGCGAGATAAATAAAAAATTTTGACACGATTTTTACGACCCAATTTTTTTTAATGTTTACAAATAAAGTTTTAATTAACGCCTCGATGATTGTTAACTTCTTTGGTTTAAATTTTTAATTCCGAGGCGGGCAATGTTGAAAAGTTTTTCTCGGCGATTTAGCTTCTTTAAGGTAATGATTGCTTGCTCTGAAAGTTTTCAGAGCGCAATTATTGTAATTTGTGATATAATGGTTCAAGTAGAAAATTATAATATTATGATAATGTTTGTTAAAGTTCCTTAACCTGTTATACTTCTCGGTTTTTATTGACAGTATTAAAAGCGACTATATTTTGCATCACGCTACTGACCTGCATTCGTTAAATAGAATGGGTTGCGGTCTGCGTTTGCGTTCGAAGAAAAGTGACCGAGATGCGGATTACACTTTGCATTGCATAAACGTAGTTTGTTGTCGTAATAGTGCGATGGTACCTATGTATGAATAAAAGATCAGAAAAGTGGAGCCGCGATTGATTTTTAACGAACCGAATTTGGCAAGAAATTCTGTAGTATATGACTATCCTAGCCTAGCCATTCAATCTAGAACAATAGGTACCTACGTTTGTACAATACTACATACAGTTTAATCACATTGTCTACATATTATGTACTGAAAACAGAATTGGAAAATTCGAAACCGTTCGCGAGATATCATGTAGGTACACAGACGGACGGACGGACGGACGGGCAGAAAGTCCAAAACCATGAACTCGTTTTTTGTCGCTCGTTAATAAACTTGTAAATGCGTTTCTTTTGTAGTCGTCTTGGAAAAACGTAAATTAAAAAACGGATATGGTATTTTTGTGCTAAGTAAGATGTTATGTTGAGGCTTTCTCTTTCAAAAGTAAATTGGCATGGAAAGAATATAGGTATCAGAAATGACTATTAAATGGTGCTGTTCCTACAATATATTCTGTATTTACAGATTTCGCAATCCATGCAACCATGGAAATGACAACCGTATGTAAACCACAAATAACTCCATCAATGGGATCAATCACGTTACTCTTCTAAATAATAATCCTAGGTTTCATAGAGGCGATTATCACAATTTTTATCATCATTTCTTCTTCTCGGAGTCCACAATCCTAGGATTGGTTGAACGCAGTCCTATACCCTCTCCTATCCCGCGCTAATCTTTTTGTTTCAACACAACTACCCTTGCCTACGTCTCTAATTATTTGGTCTATGTACTCGTTCTACTCCTCTGTTGCGCTCGGACCTAACTTCTATAGCTGACTGTACTAATCCTCGTTCTCATCCTATCTCGTCTCGTCTTCTCTGTACGGTTTTCCACATTTCCTATTTTCATGTACTAGCTCCAAGACTGCTTCGTTTGTTACCCTGTTCATCCAGCTAATCCTCATTATTCTTCCATATCACCACATTTTGAATGCTTTTATCAAACTTTTGTTTTCCCTGCCTATATCGTCCAGGTTTCGCACCCGTACTTGTAGGATAGCATGGCTATCTTTATTATTTTTATACTTACGATTCGGTTAAATTGGCAAAGTTGTGTACTTTTTGATGCTGATGGATATTCCGATGCAATATTTTGAAGAAAATTTTCGTATCGTGGATAATTGGAAAAAAAGTGAAAATCGCATTTTTAAGAAGTTAAAATATTTTAGTAACAAACAGAGCTATCCTAAAAAGTTTCAAATAAAAGTAGAAACGTAGAAAAAAATTTTTAAAATGGCGGTTTCCGGATATTAACATCAACTTCCTTATTTTAAATGGAGGCCATATTGGATTTTTACGTCACTCGATAGAGGAAAAAATTACAAAACCAGTGATCCTAAACATTTAGAATTTCATTTGGGAATCAACCTTACATTTTTGCCTTGAAGATTTACAATGCATTTCTTATGGCAATAATTCCATGGCTGATTGTGATTGAAACCAAATTCGTTCGTTTATTGACTCGTATAGTCATCGACAGGGCAATGGAATTATCGCCATAAGAAATACATTGTAAACTTCGACGCAAAAATGTGAGGTTGATTCCCAAATGAAAGACTAAGTGTTTAGTATCACTGGTTTTGTAATTTTTTTTCTATCGAGTGACTTAAAAATCCAATATGGCGTCCATTTAAAACAAGGAAGTTGAAGTCAATATCTCGGAAACCGCCATTTTAAAATTTTTTTTTCTACGTTCGTTCTTTGAATTGGTCTTTTTTCGCTCTTTGTTACTAAAATATTTAAACTTTTTAAAAATGGCGATTTTCACTGTTTTCTAAATTATTTACGAAACGATTTATTTTTTTAAAAATACGCATCGGAATATCCATTAGGATCAAAAACTACACAACTTTGCCAATTTCATAAATAAGATCTAGTTTATTGTGTACACTACGCACATTTATACACATAATAGTAAAGTTATTTGTAGCACATTTAACGACACTTAACTCAGTGAAATCCGCACTGAGTTAAGTGTCGTTAAATGTGCTACAAATAACTTTACTATTATGTGTATAAATGTGCGTAGTGTACACAATAAACTAGATCTTATCTATGAACTGTTGACCAATTGCAATTTGCCCGATATTGTCTGCTTGACTGAAAGTTGGTTACGTACTAATGAAATAATCACTTTCCAATTACCCGGTTATGTGGTAGGCTCTAGCTTTTGCAGAACCAATTCGCGCGGTGGTGGAGTGCTTATCCTTGTTAAGGAACAATTAAGGGATAAAGTTAATGCCCTTCCTGTTACAGCTACTACTGATCTAAATCTGGAAGCAGCCTCGCTTGAAGTATGTCTTGATGGAATTAATCTAAAGGTTATTTGCCTATATAGACCGCCCAGATCTTCATTTGCTACCTTTCTGGAGCAACTAGAAGATTTGCTACATGTTTCTGATACCTGCGTGCACAGGACGGTTAATATAATATGCGGTGATTTTAACTGTAACTTGGCCGATCCTGGAAATGAATCAACGAGCTTAATCAACATCTTCGCATCCTACGGTTTGCATCAGTTGTTCTTTGACTACTCGCGAGTGCAAGGAAAATCCAAAACACTTATAGATAATATATTTTCCAACTTAAAGAAGTGTGATGTGGTAGCTGCAGACACTGTCACAAACTTCATATCTGATCATCATGCTCAGTTGCTTACCTTTACATTACCAAGGTTTTATAGCTCTAAAGACTTGCAGACTAAATGTGATCGTCCCATTACGGAAAAAGGTTTATTTAATTTCCATAACGCCTTGGAACATACAAACTTTAATTACTTATATGATCACACTTTCAGTGACAAATTCTCTAAATTTATAGATCATATTGTCGCAATTTTTATGGAATGTTTTCCTATTAGGATAACTAAAAGTAAACGCTGGGACGGTGGTATCTCATGGTTTACGCCAGAATTAAAACAAATGAGAAGCACGCTCAAACTACTACATGAAATGTACACTTTGGCAGGTTCGATTGGCTTAAAATCGGCCTATACTCGCTGCAGAAGTGCTTACCGAGCTGCAGTTCGTATTGCCCGAATACATTCAAATGATAACGTCATTACTAATGCTAGTAACAAATCAAAGATGGTTTGGGATATTATTAATGCAAAAAAAGGCCAATCTAAGGTTATTACTGATCTATACTCTGCTGACCAATGGAATCAATATTTTGTTAATATACCTAACGAGATATTATCCCACAATAATGTTCATATAAATGAACCCCTTTCTATGTTTAATATTATCGTACCAAACAATATCTCTCTAAGTTTTGACTATGTTACCCCTAATGACGTCAGAGACGCGATAACATCATTATCGGCGAGTAGAGCAAAAGTCATCTATGGGATGAACTCGTAC